GAAGTCTTCTCCAAAATCCTTTTCGATTCTACCTCTTTTGCTTCTTCGAGGTTCAATATCAAGAGGTTGAAAAGAACTGGAAGATGGAAGATCAGAAGGAATGGATGATCTGGGATTTTCTGAGATTTTAGATTTGAAAGGAAAGATGTTTTCAAAGTAGACTGCATCTCTTGCTTCAATGATGGTATTGTTGGATATGTCACTGATTTCAGATTTGATGACTAAAAATCTGTTAACATTGCTATCAAGTGCATATCCAATAAAAGCAGCATCTACAGTCTTAGAACCAATTTTTCTCTTCTTAGGTTCGGGAATAGCTACTTTAGCCAAGCAACCCCAAACCCGGAAGAAATTTAGATTAGGAGATCTCCCCTTCCAATATTCATAAGGAGTTGTATCGGAATATTTCTGGGGAATCCTATTGAGAATGAAGCAAGCAGAAAGAAGAGCTTCACCCCAGAGATTTTCAGGTGCTCCTGAACTGAGTAACATACAGTTCACCATGTCCATTAGGGTTCTATTCTTTCGTTCAGCTACCCCGTTAGACTGTGGTGTATAGGGAGCAGTAACCTCATGAATAATACCGTGTTCTTGGCAATATTCAGTCATATGATTTGAGGTATACTCCCCCCCACGATCAGATCTTAGAATCTTGATCTTCCTGTCAAGTTGATTCTCAGATTCAGCTTTATACACCTTAAACCTATCTAAGACTTCATCTTTAGTTTTGAGAAGATAGGTGTAACAATATCTGGAGTGATCGTCTATAAAAGTCACAAAATATCTCTTACCCCCTCGGGTGAGAACTCGGTTAGAGTCACACACATCACTATGAATTAATTCGAGGGGTTCAGAGTTTCTAGTTATAGACTTGAAGGGTTTTTTAGTGTGTTTCCCTTGAACACAGATTTCACATTTAGATGAGGGATCATGAGAAGATTTAGGAATGAGGTTTAATTTACTCATTCTCTGCAAGGTTTGGAAATTGACATGTCCAAGTCGTCCATGCCAAACATCACAAGACTCAACAATTTGAATAACAGAAGACTCAGAAATTTCATTAGAACTGGAATTGATTACATTGAGTTTGAAAAGGCCATTACAGATAAAACCTTTTCCTATGAAAACATTACTCTTTGTAATCACAAATTTATTGGATTCTTTTACAATCCTATAACCAGCTCTAAGAAGAAGAGATTCACTAATCAGATTGCGACGGAGAGAAGGAACATGATAAACGCCTTGCAGATGAAGAACTTTCCCAGAAGTCATGGTGAGCTCTATACGTCCACTTCCTATTATTGATTTAGTGGAGTCATCTGCTAAGCTTATGCTTCCTCCACGTGATTCCTGATAATTTGAAAACCAAGAGCGGTCATTACAGACATGGATATTTGCTCCGGAATCCAAATATCAATCAGTGGAAGAAGTTAGAGAATTTACAAGATGGGATGAAGATGCTAACCTGAAGGAGGTTGGATTCATTTCAATCATATTAACTTTGTTGGATCCATTTCCTTTAGGGGCAGGTTTGGCCGGTTCCTTCTTCCGAAAGAAACAGTTGTGAGCCATGTGGTTGGTTCTACCACAGACAAAGCAGAACTTCTCATCAGACTTATGGCTGGAAGAATTGGGATTTGATTTGAAGGAAGATTTGTTGAAAGATTGTTGGTTTTTCTTGAATTTCTTCCCTTTGGGTTTGAAATTCTTAGATTTAGGCTTATCCTCTACCAAGTTTACTTTAGCTTTTGTTTCATTCTTGGTATTGGAATTTTGCCTATGCTGGTCTTCAATACGAATAGCCTTGAGGGCTTCAGTTAAGGTTAGATCTCCTTACTTGTGTCGAAGATCTCCAGCAAATCTAGATCAGAAGGGAGGAAGTTTATCAATCAAACAGGAAACTTTATAATCGTCAGTAAAAGTGTTTCCTTTTGATTGGAGATGACGGAGGAAATCTAGGAATTCATGAATTTGTTCATTAATGGGCTTGTCATCAACCATCATGAACTTATTGAAGGAGGAGGAGGTGAAACGCAGAATTCCGGCATCATCATAGCCATATTCTGCTTCAAGAGCATTCCATAGTTCTTTTGCACTTTTGAACTCATAATATATGTCATAAAGGTTGTCTGCAAGTGCACTAAGAATCCTATGACAACAATGATAGTTGATTTCTTCTGGTTTCATAGAGCTAGAAAAGGAGCTAGCACCAGAACCAGAAGTGGAAGGAGCAGGTTGAGCAGGATCAGGAGTCAAAGGTTGAGAACCACTAGTAGATGACTCAGAAGTGTCAATAGCAGATAAAAGACCTAAGGTAGTAATGATCGATTAAGTATCTCGTTTCTTACAGAGCGCTTTACGCAACCCTTAAACCTTTCCTTAGACACCAACTAATCCAAGAAAACTTGAACCGGTTCACTTAAAGATTTTTTGTTTATGACAGATACTGAATTTGAGCATAGAAATAATAATTTTTTTTAACTAATTTAGATGCAACAAGTTAAAGCAATTAACTAATACAACAAGTAATTAAAATATATGAAATTCGGGTGAACAGTAATCCCGATGAACAGTAATTTTTTTTTTAAATTTTAAAAACTAATTATCTTAACACCAAGAATATACTTAATCTTCTAGATTGTTGTCAAAACAGAGATATAAAATATAAAAACAAATTCAAGAGTTAGAAAATTCAGGCCTGATCGGGAGTAGTCGTGATAACACTGCCCTAGAAGATTAAGGACCCGCCTATCGCTCTGCGCAATTTGTCCTCTCTCCCCTAGCGGTAAAAACCCCCGGAATCGGCCGGCCTCTGCACTCGGGCGTGAGTCACAGAGCTTATGCTCAGACGAAAACGGTTGCCCAAAGAATAGAAAATATGTAGCCGAATTTTTTTCTTGGAGGTATAAGAATAGAGAAGAGAAGAGAGTGTAGAGATTTTCCTCTTCGTTGGTGTGATTCTGAATGAGCTCCAAGCCTCCTTTTATAGGTGATGAAAGGTGTAACCCCCGCTGAATCCAAGGGACCGTTACGCACGGTTATTGCTTCCGTTACCCGCATGCAGCCGTTACAAAATGTGTAAAACGTGCAAAAATAAAGGCTTGAGAAGCAAAAAGGTGTGCGGCCGCGCGCGCGCGCGTGTGTGGTAGAAACGCAAAGCCCACAAAACCCAAAACACTATTCAAAGCCCAATAAGGAGAGAACCATTATATACCCTTTACTATTCATCTCATTTTCCGATGTGGGACTATTCACAAAGGCAAAATTGCCTTTTCATGAACAAAGCTTCCAACATTATTATTACTAATTAATCATAATATATGCTACTTCAAGTTTGTCTAATTTTGTCCCTAAAACTTCCAATGTTATTGTAAAACTCTCATATTAATTATTAGTAATGTCTAATAATATATTAATAGACAATTACATATTAATAAATTATTAATATAAAGAGTAGAAAATATAGAATTATCCTAAAATTATACCATTATATTCATATAGGAAAATTACAAATAGTATTCTTACATATAGAAGGTACATACATGCAATTTTAAAAAAAAAACATTAGGATATTTAAGTGCAGCAAGATACAAGTGGAGGTATGTAATTGAAACTTTTATAAACTGTAAGGTATTTATTTATAAACTGTAAGGTATTTAATTTAATTAAGTCAATAAAGATTTAAAACATTTGTTAACCACAAGCAATAGTATGTGATTCATTTGATAAATAATATTCATCATATAATATGAGGCTAGAGGGTTAGCTTATATTTATATATTAGAGGAGATGTGAGAAAATTAAAGCATTATATTTTGAATAATCTTAAAATTTTGAATTATTTCTGAATTTATATACTTTACTTAGAAAACTTTAGAAGAGTCTTTCGAAGGACTACTACAAAGTGTTGGGCATCATATAAATACTGGACAAATAAAATCCATGATATTGGATTGAGGTAATCGGGGTTATGTAAAAAAATATATGGGTCTCATATGAGATAATGCTCATACATAATATAAAATTGTAATCTATAATCTTAGATATTGATGAATTTTCAACGTAAGAATTTGCATCAAGATATATGCTTAAGATTTGGGAGAGCTGAGAGTGGAGAAATTAGGGATATGAATTATGGCTTGTGTGACTTGTGCTTTAGTTTTGGTTTCCAAACACGACCCAATACGAAACCCACAATCAAAAATGGCTTGATTTTGTTATACTAGCCAATATTTTCGATAATGATCGATATGTAGAAAAAATTCCCCAAATAAAAGAAAACAATATAAAACCATAAATATTATTAAGATAAAGTATTTAACCTTTTATATCAGTCGATATAGCGATATATCAGCTGATATTAAGTATTTAACCTTTTATATCAGTCGATATAGCGATATACCAGCTGATATTTCATATATTGCATATAAGAGTAATATTTGAAGGTAATTTAGATATCATTTCCTTGATTTTAAATGTTTAATAATTCTATATTATTCCCTTAAAGTTTTGAAAATTGCTTATAATTCAGGGACTAATATTGAATTATAAAACATTTGAGGGACAAATATGTAAATAAGCTAAATTTAAAAGAATAATTAATTTTTTGAAAACTCTCTTAACTATGGGTAATGTCTAAAAAAAACACTTAACTAATTTAATTTGATAGAGACCCCTAACTACAGAGGAGTTGTAGATAACCCCTCTCAACCACTGCTAGAAAATGGGGTTTTGCCAACGGACTAATAGCAACGGAAATTTCCGTCGCTATAAGTCATGTTATAGCGACGGAAATTTCCGTCGCTATTATTCTGTCGGAAAAATCATATTTAGCGACGGAAAATTCCGTCGCTTTAATTTTACCAACGGATTTTTAGCGACGAAAATTTTCCATCGCTAAAAAGCTTTTTAGCGATGGAAATTCCGTCGCTAAAAACCATTTTAGTGACGGAATTTCTGTCGCTAAAGAAAATTGTTGGGAAAAAAATTTGGGCGCGGGCATGCCCAAAAAATTTGGGCAGCCCGCGCCCGAGAGAGGGATTTATCCCAAATCCCTCTCTCATTTCTCATTTCCCCTCTCTCTCTTCATTCCCCCCTCTCCCCCTTCTCGTTCTCTTCGCCGGCGTCGGACCCGCGCTGCCACAGAAGAATCCCACGACGCCGCCATCGAGGACGAGGACACCGGAGCCCAGATCGTCCCCATCATCAAGCTCGAGGAGGTCGCCGTCACCACCGGCGAAGAGGACGAGGAGGCCATCCTCGACCTGTAAATTTCTCAGATCTAAAGCTTTTAGCTCTCCTTTTGATCTCAATTTAATCTGATTATATTGATTTTTTTTTATTTTTTAAGGAAAGCGAAGTTGTATCGGTTCGATAAAGAGGGGAAGCAATGGAAGGAGCGAGGGAGCGGGAGCGGGAGCGGGAGCGTGAAGCTGTTGAAGCACAAGGAGAGCGGCAAAGTCCGGTTGGTTATGAGGCAGGCCAAGACCCTCAAGATTTGCGCGAACCACTATGGTGAGATTTTTTCTTAGGCTTTTGATTTTATCAGGGTTTTAGTGCTGGAATCGGTTTGATCGGGCTACTGACTTGCTCGCCTATAGATTGAAGAGAACTTGAGATGGTGCTTTGCCCTTAATAGGTAGTTCGATCAATTAGTTTATTCTTTTATATTTGCGTTTATAAAAATTCTTACTAATCAGACAGTTGTTGCATAAGTAGCCAGCTCCTGAGTGGTGCAAAACATTACAGTTATTTCAAAAGCATTTTCTTTTTGGTGTACCAACTGGCTAGTGAATATGAATTAAAAAAAATGCTTAACAAAGTACGAAGATATTTAAAGGTTCACCCCCTATTTATGATCAATGAGCTGACATGCGTAGCTTCTGTGAGTAACTACAGTATTTTACACACTGGAGCTGGTCAGTACCAGGACATTGCATTGCTGGACACAAAGCCCTTTGGAAAGGTACTATACAGCACTGGACAGAAGAAATAAATCATGTTATAATATAGATCATTTTATACTTACTTATCTCTGCCTCTGCTTTTTGTTTATTCTAATTAACTGCAGGCTTTAGTTATAGATGGAAAGCTTCAGAGTGCAGAGATTGATGAATTCATATATCATGAGTCCCTAGTTCATCCAGCATTGCTCCGCCACCAAGAGTACAATTCTTTAAGTCATTTAAGATTTATTTTGGTTTTCAGAAAATAGATAAATTAATTAATACAATGCATTTTCCTCTTTATAATTTTAATGTTTGTTTCGGTCCCAAGACTATTTTCATAATGGGAGGAGGAGAGGGGTCTACTGCAAGGGAAATTCTTAGGCACAACACTGTAGAAAAAGTTGTCATGTGTGATATTGATGAGGTAACTATTTTTTGGGGGTTGAAGTTCCTTTTATGCAATTTTATTTATTTGTTGTAAATTTTTGCAGATAAAAGACAAGGCTGGGAAATCAAGTAACTCTGCTGCTATTTCATGTTCACATTGTCGGGTATTGGCCATATTCTGTTTACTTTATTAATTTTACTTTTTTTCAAGGTTCTGTTTTCAGATTTAATGGGATTGTTTTGTATTTCTTTTCTGAAAAATGAAAAATACAATATCAACTGGTCTTTTGGTCTTTAGTTATACTACAATCTGTCCAATCAGAGAGGACAAAAAAAATACACCAACAACATGATCTGTGCAATTATTGACTTTGATTTTTAATAGTTTATCTTTCAAATTAATTGTGTGTTGGTTCATGCTTGGATATTACTTTATGTTTGTCTATGTTGAAGGAAGAAAATAATCTCAAACTAATAGTTGATGGGTTTTGATAACTAGTTTGTTTCCATATTAATTGTGTGTACGCGTGCGTGCATGCGTGCACGCGTGTACGCGTGCGTGCGTGCGTGCACTCGTGCGTGCGTGTACGCGTGCATGCGCGTATGGTGAGAAAATTGAGGGTGGGGTTAGGATGTGTGTATGCGTTGTTGCAAAAAGTTATGCGTGCGTGCGTAAAATACATAAGAATATGCCATGATACTCTTCCAGTTTTAGAATAATATACAGTCAGAATTTATGGAGAGAACTATGTTTGAAAAGATGCAATGATTAAATTGTGTAATGAAACATGCTGCTGTTTGAGGCTGGAGTTTTTTTAATCAAACTGGGAGGAGGACCATTTATATTGTGTAATGAGACCTTCTAGTTTTTGAAAAGATGCAATGATTAAATTGTGTAATGAAACCTTCTAGTTTTTGAATTTTAAATTATATTGCTCTAGAGGTTCATGCTTGGATATAACTCTATGTTTGTTTTTGAAGGAAGAAAATAATCTAAAACTAATAGTTGATGGGCTTTGATAAGTAGTCAGTTTCCCTATCAGTTTAGATCTTTGAACTACAACATATTATGATTATACATTGTAGATGACAACCATGTATTTGGTGATTTAAGGGAAAGTTGATATAACAATCTGAGTATTGTTTTTATCTTTCAAATTAATTATGTGTTGGTTCATGCTTGGATATTACTTTATGTTTGTCTATGTTGGAGGAAGAAAATAATCTCAAACTAATAGTTGATGGGTTTTGATAACTAGTTTGTTTCCATATTAATTGTGTGGAGTGTGGTGCATGCGTGCACGCATGTACGCATGCGTGTGTATATGCGTGTGTGTGTACGCGTGCATGCGCGTATGGTGAAAAAATTGCGGGTGGGGTTAGGGTGTGTGTTTGCGTTGTTGCAAAAATTATGTGTGTGTGCGTATAATACATAAGAATATGCCATGATACTCTCTGCGAAACATGTAATACATAAGAATATGCCATGATACTCTCTCCGAAACATGTAATACATAAGAATATGCCATGATACTCTCTCCGAAACATGTAATACATAAGAATATGCCATGATACTCTCTCCGAAACATGTAATACATAAGAATATGCCATGATACTCTATCTTAATTCTATACTTGCATGTCATGCCATGTTGTTAACGTTTGATTTATATTTGCAGGCCAAGACTTATATTTGCAAGTGGAGCTGGTGATGAGGATGATGATCAGGAGGACTGATTTGTTTTTTTACCTTTGAAAACAATGAATAAGTGTATGTTGTATAAACAATATTTATCATGGTGTGTGCTGTATAAACAATATTTATTATGTTAGGATATTTTTATTAAAATATTTGTGTTATATATACGTGAGAATGAATATTATACTGCTGATTGAACATGGTTTTAAATTTATTATATTATTGTACAGGTTTTTTCAATTTTTTAAAATAAATTTTTTAAATTGTTATAGCGACGGATTTTCCGTCGCTAATGTCATTTTAGCGACGGAAAAGCCGTCGCTAATGTGATTTTTAGCGACGGAAAATCCGTCGCTAATGTTTTTTTGTTTTTTTAAAAAAAATAGAGCGACGGATTAGCCGTCGCTAATGTTCCGTCGCTGACATTTAGCGACGGAAAATCCGTCGCCAAAGATCATTTTAGCTACCCTCACTGTACTGACGGTATTTTGGCGACGGAATTTTAATTTTTCCGTCGCTAAAGGTTTTAGCGACGGATTTTCGAGTTTTAGCGACGGATTTTTCCGTCGCTAAAAGTCCTGTTTGTAGTAGTGAACTTTGGTGTGATTTTAGAAAATATCATTCGACTTAGCGTGTCTTATGAAAAGTCTCCTGGTCCTTTACACATCTCTTAACAAACCCCCTTAATGTAAAAGACATTAATATATGATTTTGTCAAAATGCCCTGTTGAAAAAAGTCATTTTAGTTAAAAAGAAACTCTCAACCAATAATAAAAGAATTATGACCATTTACAATTCTTTTTATCTCTAAATCTTCACTTTTTCTTTCATCTAGCAAAAATCAAGCTAAATCTTTTATGATTGAGATATTTTGGTGTTTCCAGGTCAAGTACTTATCACATAATAAATTCGACTCAGCGATAGTTTTGAGAGGTTAATTGAGAAAAGTTCATATGGTTAAATCAAAAATTTAAAGTTAAGATAGATTAACTACAACACCCCAAATTTGACGAACAAAGATTTACTCTTTTCAAGTAGTTGAGGGGGGGGGTAACATTTCCCCGATAGTTAAGAGGAAGTTTTCTAAAATTAACCCTTAAAAAACACAATTTAAGACACATGTGACATCAATCTTATAAGAGTGGATTTTATCGCAAGTTTATCAGTATCTCTGAAAATCTTTTGTAATAAGATTTGCAGAGAGAAATTTAATCTTTATTTGGGATGGTTATGTGATCATTATGGTTCTCCTTATCTTTTAAGATTTGTAATAAATTATTTAACAAAATAAAATAAGTTGTTCAATTTATATGTCTCACCTTTATGAAGCATATAGTTTGGATATGAGTGTTATTAGTTTTTTTAACTCTTTAACCTAAATTTTTGGATATTATTCAATATTGGATAGATCTAAATTATTTTGTTAAAATACAATCCTTATATGTACAAAATATATTTAAATCATTCTCAGATTGTATTTTATAGTCTGAAATTAGAGAATAATCATTTTGACAAATTAATTAATTAGTTGAGAAGATGTAGGAAGATTACTGTGACGCCCCAGGGTTCACACAAGGCTGCAGTCCCAGGTGAAACCCGGATTATCAAACCTGCCAAGCACCAAACACCATGCTACGACATGTTTTACCATCATATTCGTTATCTCTCTAGTGGAAACAATAAATAGATGAAGGTACAGACAAGCAAAATAGAAATAGAACAACACTGGATAAACACAGAAGAAGCATAAGAATATCAATAATGAGCCCAACTGGAATAAGATAAACATATCTCTGAGTCTGAACTAAATCTCAAATACAATGAGTCAAAAAGAAAACTGAGTCTTACAATAGCTCTCAACTCTATGAAATAAAATACTAAACTGGAGTCTGAAAGTAATCAACTACATGTGGAGTTCTGAAGTGACTACAAAATATAATAAATAGGTAAACGGACAACTAAGATGTCCCATCAACCTGCGACCCTCCGTGCGCCGGACTCGGTGCCTGAAAGAAGGAAAACAACGAGCATCAAAGCGCTAGTGAGATCATCACTACCTCTCCCCAGGGGAAGGGGTAGGAGTATATAAGAAAATAGAGTCAGTACATACATATATCAAATCATTCATATAACTCTCTATGAATAAAAAAACAAATAATCAATGATACATACTCCAATCTCCAACATAAAGAAAAATAATCATCTCATCTCGAATTACGTCCGAGTGATCTGCTCTAAAATAAGAGGATATCAACAATTTCTAAAACAAGTATATCTGCCGTTCATAACGGGTGTATCAAATGTCAAATGAAATACCCTACTCGCGGGTAATCTATCATGGAAGTGAAGCTTACAACTGATCAATTATCTATGTGTGCATCATCTTGTGCTATAGCGATACTTTTTTAATGCTCTTACTCAATCGCTCTGCGGCAATAGGATTTATTATCTCCCTACTTCCGGATGCATGTAATAACGATGCTTTTGTAATACTCTTA